GGAGCGATTTCAAAATAGCCTCCGGGCCCGGATTGGCGGTGCGGCGGCGAGCCGAGGGCTCCGGGGTTTTAACAATGAGTTCCGCCAACACTTCCAACCCATTCATAACTTACGGAAAGGACCTCTGCCCGCCTTTTCTCAGCTCCGGCGTCGGCGAGTTTTCTAGCTGCGAGGACCGGAGCACTTGGAAGTCGGTGGGGGGCGCCGGCCGCGCGGCTGAGCCCACGGAGGAGGGGGCTGCGACCCTCGGAAAATGCCTGCAGGTCTGCTCGGTCCTGCGCGCTGACCTTGCTCTCTGTGCCTCGCAGGCGGGATACTCGGCTGCGGAGGTCCTTCTCCTGGGACAGCCCCCTCCCACCCCCCCTCACATCGCCCGGTTTGACCCAGGTGGAATTTGCCCCAAGCCACCCGGGTAGGCCTAGGCTGCGGAGACCGGGTCCTGGAGCCTGTGGGGCCTTGCGGATCTGTGGGAGGTCCGGGAAGGGGGTGTCGGCTGGGATCCCTGAGTGATTGCGATCCGCTTTGTGAATAAGCATCCATTAAGTGCCGCCCCCGGGCTGATGGCCTGGAAAGATATACTACACGGACTGCCTCGCATAGCTGCAGTGGGAGGGAAGGGGGCAGCAGGTAGGAGGCAGGGTGCTTAGACCCTCCAGCCCCCCGTTTTATTTTCCCAACCCAATGGCTGAGAGCAAATGTTTTAGAGGCAGGCAGAGCTAGGTGTGAATTTTTGCAAACTTCGGTTGCCTCCTCTGCAAAATTAAGACAAGAATCATTGGCCCTGGGTCTGGCATTTTGTGTTCAATAAATGAGAACTCTGCTGCTGCTGCTGCTGCTGCGGTGTTAATTTTGGGTCTTGTCCTGAATTCTGCCCGGAGCCATCTTACCTGCTCCCACCTTTGTTTTCCAAGGATTACTATATGTTGTGTGCACTGTTTGATCCTGCTCTTAATATTCTGCACTTGCCCTGACCAGGTTGGCTCAGTGGATAGAGCATCGGCCTGCGGACTGAAGGGTCCCAGGTTCGATTCCGGTCAGGGGCATGTACCTTGGTTGCTGGCACATCCCCAGTAGGGAGTGTGCAGGAAGCAGCTGTTTCTCTCTCATCGATGTTTCTAACTATCTTTCTCCTTCTCCCTTCCTCTCTGTAAAAAAAATCAATAAAATATATATTTTTTAAAAATACTCTACACTTATGTCTGTGTGGTGGTAAGGAGGTAATAAGCAGAAGCAGAAGGGGACTCCTATGACCAGGAGGGGACAGGGATGGACCAGAGTGCCCCCTTGGATGGGCAAAGTGTGTTCCACACTATTGGTGCCTGGCCAACAGCCCTTTGGCAATTAACACCACAGAAAGGATGCTCCCTGCCAGACTCTTGCTGAGGGCTTTATTCTGGCTGTAGAATAGAGCCCTCAGGTAAACTTCCCAATGTCCAGGGCAAGTGGGAAGCACTGCAGAATAATCCCCCCACCCACCAGCAGCCTCAGCCAGTGAGGGCAGATACTTGGGTTGGATAACGTTGATGCTTTTCCCACTGGGAGTCCCAGAACTCCCCATGGAATTAAGCTCCAGTTGCCCACAAGGGTAACTTGCTCAACAATGCAACCTTCTCCAGCTGCCTTTCCTTCTCTCACAGCCCCACTGGAATTGCTTGGACTCCAATCCTGTCTCGGGTCAGGTGAGTGATGGGAGAGGAATGTAGACTTGTAGACAGTGCTGGAGAAGTTTGGCAGTGGAGAGGTCAGCCAGGAGGAGGTCTGTGTTTGAGCGGAGCAGGAGCTCATAGGGGAGAGGGTGGGGAGTGATGGGCCTACCTAGGACCCTCCTCCCCTCAGCTTCTCCCACCCCTATAAAGTTAATTGATTTCTCAAATGTAAGGTGTTATGCCCACACTCCTCAAAGCCCCGTTCCAGCCAGTTGCTACCCCCAGCCTCTCCTGGGTCTCTTTTACATTCAGGAAAATGGCTCCCTCTTCCCCCAGCAGCAACCCTAAGCCCCTACCCTCCCACACAACCCCATCTTAGTGTTTAGCAAGTCCAGTGAGCCTGTAATCTCCACCACAACCTCTAGAGGTCACCCACACACCAGCAGCGCTGTTACCTTCCTTTATCAGCGCCCTCCTATTTACTGTTCCTGCTTTCAAGATGTAATGCTTTGCCTGACTAAATTGTGCCTCTTCTTCCAGGAAGCTTTCTCAGATCTATGCAGGTAGCAGTTCTTTGAGGTTCTCTTTCCATGCGATATCTTTTGAAGTTTTGTTATCTCCTTGGGACCTTGGAAGGTTGTAGTGGGGACCTGAGATTTCACATGCCTGGACAGGCTGAGGTGCATGGGGTGAGAGAACCTGTGATGCAGACAGGCAGAATCCTGGCCTGGTGCTTGCTTAAAAACAAATGTCAAAGCCCTAGCTGATTTGGCTCAGTGGATAGAGCATCACTCTTCGAACTGAAGGGTCCTGGGTTTGATTCTGGTCAAGGGCACATGCCCGGGTTGCGGGCTCGATCCCCAGTATGGGGCCTGCAGGAGGCAGCTGATCAATGATTCTCTCTTATCATGATGTTTCTATCCCATCCCTCTCTCCCTCTCCCTTCCTCTTTGAAATCATATATATATATATATATAAAGTAAATTAAAACAAATGTCAACGACTTTCACAATTGCTAGGGGAGGGGTGCCAGGAAAGTGGGGGTCCTCACCTCAAGGAGTGAGGAGGGGTCTGGAGAGCTTGTATCTCACCCCTGCTGAAAAGAGTGGGGCTTCCACTTATCCTGCTGAGGCCCTGGCCACAGCTCTTAACAGGAAGGTTCGTGAAGCTCAGGGGTTGGAGGGTCACTTGCCATCAGACAGTCTAAGGGTGGCAGAGCAGTACTGGAATGCATGGAAAGGCACCAGAAGGGTTTGGACAGGTTCAGTTGTCCAGCTGTGTGGGAGAGAGCAGTTTTGTGCTGAGGAAGAGATGGTGAACTGGGCCAGAAAGAGCTGGGACCTCCTGGTCACACCCAGGCTCACTCCAAAACAATCACAGACCAACATTCTTTAATTAACAAAGGCACTTAAGAACCCCTACAAACCCAAAGTCTTCACCAAGGGTGGCCCTACAGACACCTCAACCCTGCCACCCTCCTTCCACCCATCCACGGCACTCAGAGTTCATCATGACCTGCAGAGGGATCCACGCTGGGCTTGATGAAGATGCCTTCCATGGCCTTCCACGTATTGTGTGTGTTGGCGCTGGGCATGCCGTGCACCTCATGCTGCCCACGGATGGGGCTCCCGTACTGCTCGCCGGTGACGGACAGGAACACAGAGGTGCCCACGTGCTGGAAGCGCACGGCGGCCTCCCGCTCCCAGTGCTTCCCCGAGCAGCGCACAATCCACAGGTCAAGGTCGTCACCCTCACCGTCTTCCCCAAAGGCGCTCACCTCCTATGGGTTCAGAGGGTGGGGGTGGGGGGGACAGTAGTCACCACAGAGGGCACACTGAGTCAGTCCCCTGTGGTCACTCGCCTGGCAGCGGCACTCACACCTAGGGCACTGGGCCTCAGGTTCTTCCCTGTCCCTCTGAGCCTCAGTTTCCACAGCTGCAAAATGGGACAACACAACCCCCAGCCCCAATACCCAGTAGGGCCTTCACAACACAGGTTCTTCAAACACATGCTAACCCCACCCCAGCTGTCTGGGTGGTGACCACTGTCTCCCACAGAGACAAGCCCTCCTCTCTCCTCCTCTATGTCCCCCCTACCTCCATCCTAACCCCTCTAACTCTCAACATAAAGTCCGATCCCTCAGGCTGACAGTCAAGGTCTCTACTTAGCTTGTATTTTTTCTTCTAACAAACCCCCCTCTCCCCCAAAGCACCCTCTGTTCCACCCCCACTTCCTCCCTAACCTCCCCCCTACCCAGTTCCAGTGAACTCCATGCACAAGCTCTTCCGGGGGCCTGAAAAGATGCTCTGCTCCTCTCCGTGGCCTGGAAGACTCCTGCTCATCCTTCCAGACCAAGCCTGAGAGCTCCTCCTCGCTTTCGGGTTCCCCACCCCAAAGGCCACGTGGATCCCCTCCAGGGTCCAACTCGCTCCCTAGGAGTGGAGCTACCAGCAGGTTCAGATCACACGCTTCCTTGTCCATCTTTCCGCTGGGCTGAGCGGGACCTCGGAGGAGTCCCGTGTGTCCCCGAGAGGGGGCGCTCGGTAAACATTTCTGAATTTAAATTCCTATTTCCCAGGGGAAGCTGAGGCTCAGAGAAGGTGAGACGAAGCGTAGGC